TGCTCAAGTGAATAGCACTTTGACTATCACAATAAAGCACATACCTTTCTTGCTTCAAACCTAACTCTTGCAAAAATTTCTTCAGCCATAACTTTTCTTTGCAAGCTTCCGTAATGGCAATAAATTCAGCTTCGGTAGTTGAGAGAGCAACACATTTTTGTAATTTAGATTGCCATGCCACAGCTCTCCCTGCAAAAGTCATCAAATACCCCGAAGTAGATTTCCTAGAATCAACATCACCGGCCATGTCAGAATCTGTGAACCCATCAAGCATCGGCTTACCATCCCCAAAACACAAACACACCTTCGAAGTCCCTCGAAGATATCTTAGAATCCATTTTACCGCTGCCCAATGTTCTTTACCCGGATTAGAGAGAAACCGACTCACCACACCAACTGCGTGAGCAATATCCGGCCTTGTACAAACCATGGTGTACATCAAAGAACCAACTGCTTTCAGCATAAGGAACTTTCAGCATCTCTTCCTTGTCTTTCTCACTTGTAGGACATTGATTCAAACTAAGCTTGAAGTGACTTGCAAGTGGACAACCAACTGGCTTTGCTTTATCCATGTTGAACCTCTCCAGGACTTTCTCAATGTAGCTCTCTTGAGACAACCAAATTAGCCCCTTTTTGCGATCACGAACAATTTTCATACCAAGTATTTGCTTTGCCGGTCCCAAATCTTTCCTAGCAAAAGACTTGCTCAACTCCAATTTCAACCTGTTAATCATGGTAGAATCTTGACCCACAATTAACATGTCATCACATAAAGCAAAAGAACAATAAATTTGCCATCCAGAAAATTTTTCACAAACACACAATGGTCCGAAGTGATTTTAGAAAAACTATTATTCATCATGAAAGAGTCAAATTTTTTGTACCATTGCCGCGGGGCTTGCTTAAGACCATACAAACTTTTCTTCAATTTGCAAACAAATTTCTCTTTTTCTTTCTCCACAAAACCTTCCGGTTGCTCCATGTAAATTTCTTCTTCAAGATCACCATGAAGAAATGCGGTCTTCACATCAAGTTGCTCAACTTCAAGGTTCATACTTGCAACCATGCCAAGTACAACCCGAATAGAAGACATCTTCACAACTGGCGAGAAAATCTCATCAAAGTCAATACCTTTCTTTTGCCCAAAGCGCTTTCACAAACAAAACGTGCCTTGTACCTACAGATTTCTTGCCAATCATTCTTCAATTATGAAAAACCCACTTTATTTTTTTAGAATTTTCCTCCTCCTTAAGGCAAACTTCACTAAGTCATAAGGTGGATTTTCAAGTAAGGATAGGTTTGTTCATGCTCCTCTTCCATGGCCTTTTTCCAATCACCTTTCTTTGCATGCTCCAAATTGCTTCTTGGTAGCTCTCCGACTCCCCTTAATCAGAAACAACACAATTCATTGGGAGGGAATACTTTCTTGAAGGTTGCCGGTCCCTTGTAGATTTCCCCAACTCAAGTTGTGGTGGCGATTCTTGAGTTGGATGTTCTTCCTTAATTTCTGGCTCAACTTCATTAGGATTAGCATCATCCTCCACTTCTTCAAATAGGTGGCTGCACATCTCCCCCGTTTTCATCATCAACTGAAGATGAAGGAGATAAATCCATGTCAATGAGATCACTAGCTTTTTGGCTCCGGTTGATCGCCTTTGCCAAAAGTCTTCAATTGTTGGTCTTTAAGAAAACACAACATCACGGGCTTCGAATGACTTTCTTGTCGACCGGATCCCACAATCTATAAAAACATTCCAAAATCACGGCCCATAGCCAAGAAAAATGCATTTGTCTTGACTTACTAATCAAGCTTGGACCTCTCATGCTTTTGAAATGTGAACAAAGGCTTCGGCACCAAACACTCTCAAGTGCTCAATAAGACACATCTTTTTGCCGTCCAAACTCTTTCTGGAACATCACCATTCAAAGGATAGGGAAGGTGACAAATTGATCCACATCAACCGCTATCTTCAATGCTTCACCCACAAAAGGATCCTTACAATTTAGCCTGTTGAAAAGCAAACACCCTTGTTCTGTTACCACAATAGCGTGCGGTTCATCCTCTCGGGTAAAACCTCCATTTTTGGTTTTGAGGGGGGAGGTTCTTCTTTAAATGGTTTTTTTTTTTGATTGCCGGAATACCTTGGCTGCGCAATACTCATCAAAGGCCCAAATGTATTCACCACCATTGCTGGATCGGATGCACTTCATATTTCTGCCCTTTCTCTTTCAACCATGGCCTGAAAATGCTTAAAACTTCTAACTTGATCTTTAGTTTTTTAGTAGAAAGCCCAAACATTTCCTTGAATAACATCAATGAAAGTGACAAATAAAGTGCACCACTATGTGTTTCTAACTTAAAGGACCACAAAACATCCGAGTGAATCAACTCCAAAAACATTTTTTTCTATGAAGCACATTTTTATGAAAGAAACTCTATTGTTGTTACCCGCACAAACAATGAAACACAAGTTTTAAGATGTGTACCTTTCAAACCCGTAGAAGCTCTTCTTGAACAGAACTTGCAGCCCTTTTCACTCATGTGGCCAAGCCGCTTGTGCCACAATTCGTAGAAGTATCACATCTTAAGTGCATATTGACAAAACCACTTTTAGCGAAATTTTCTTTGCATCGAATAAAGTGTATGATTCTTCTTACACTTAGCCACCACCAAAGAACCTTTGTGAGCTCCCATATTCCATCACCAAATTTGTTGTTGAAGCCTTCATCATCTAGCTTCCGGTAAGAGGATAAATGAGGCGAATGTCGGGAACATGTCTCACATCTTTAAGCAACAACTTGCCGCCTAAATTTGTTTCCAAGCAAATATCACCCATGCCAATAATCTTTGACAAACCTTCATTACCCATTTGAACAGAACCATAATCTCCTTCGGTGTAGGTAGTGAAGAAATCAACTCGAGAAGTCACATGAAAAGAAGCACCGGAATCAATCACCCAATTGCTCTCTTGGCCCACAAAATTGATACAATCATCTTCACAAACGACCATGAGATCACCATTGGTAGTAACTGCCGCTGTGTCTTCTTGCTTCTTGTCCACACTTTTGTCACGCCTTTTCTCCTTATTCTTGAGCTTTTGGCATTCTCGCTTCATGTGCCCTTTCTCATGGCAATAATAGCACTCAATGTCTTTCTTTGAAAAAGAATTATCTTTTGATTTGTCACGACTTTGATCACGACCATGAGGAGTCTTACTCCTCCTCCTTGTTTTGCTTCGGCCTCTCACAACAAATGCTTCTGAATGAGAGGAACCCGCTGATTTTCTTCTAGTTTCTTCATTCAACAGGCTACTAGTGACTTGGCCCATTGTGACAACTCCATCGGGCGCCGAATTACTGACGGTCACAACCAAAGTCTCCCAACTTTCGGGCAAAGAACTAAGTAGCATCAAAGCCTGCAACTCATCATCAAAAATAATTTTCATAGAAGCAAGTTGATTAACAATACTCTTTATTTCATTCAGATGTTCCGGAATAGGGCTGCCCTCTTTATATTTTAAATTAACCAACTTACGAAACAGAAAAGCTTTATTTGTGGCTGATTTCCTATCATAAAGGCCTTCTAATTTTTTCCATAAATCATGTGCTGAAGTTTCCGTAACAACATGATGAAACACACTGTCATCAATCCATTGACGAATAACACCAACGACTTTTCGATTAAGCCTATTCCATTCATTATCTTTTATACCCTCAGGATTGCCAGAATCACCCTCAATGGGTCCATATAGATCTTTACAAAATAATAGGTCCTCCATTTTAGTTTTCCAAGTTACCCAATTGCTTCCATTGAAGCTAAACATACTACCCACATTCCCCTCCATTGATTTACACAAACAAATAAACACAAATAAACTGTAAGCTCTGATACCAGTTGTTATAGAAAATATGTGATTCCCCACAAGTAAATCAATCAATGAGAATAAAAACTAATGTGGAAAAATTAAATCAAAGGCAACACAAGAATTTTTACGTGGTTCCCTCAATGTGAGGTACGTCCACGGGATTGAAATCCGATTCCACTATCAACCAAATAAGTTCCAAACGATTAAAAAAGAGACACTAATGATCTCACAAAACCACCCTTAGGTGAATTCCAAATAATCACAAATAAACAAAGAGGAAAGACCTCACCAAATAGATGAACCAAAATGTTCAGAACCAGAGTTGAAGAAGACCCAAAATCATTAACCCAAACAGCCGAATCCCAAACAGCCCACCGAACCAACACAGCAACAAGGCATTGAATTTGACCAAGTCAACTTACACAATCAACACCAATTGATTAACCCACCAAATTTGTTTTCAATGTTGTTCTGTATATGCGGCACAACACACTAAAACAATATATATATTGTTAATCTAGGGTTTTGTAATCAAGCCCTAATTGTATCCAAATTCACTACAAGAATTAACACTTTTGGCAACAAAAAAATTGGTTGCTAAAAGTCAATTTTTGGTCGGCAAAAGTTATCCGCGACCAATTTTTTTGGTCGCTACTTTGGTCGCCAATTGAGGGTCGGCAAAAGTAATTCGCGACCAAAATTGTGGTTGGTCGGCAAAAGTTGGATTTCGCGACTAAATTTTTAGTCGCTAAATATATCATTACCGCGACTAATTCATTTAGTCGTTAAATGCCACTATTTCGACCAAATTGGCGACCAAAAAAATTGGTTGCCATTTGTTACTTTTCGCGACCAAAACTTTTGGTCGGCAAAAGTGAGTTTCCACGACCAAGAGCTGTTTTGGTCGGCAATAGATGTATTTTTTGCGACCAAAACTCTTGGTCGACAATTGTCATTTTTTGAGAAATTTAATTATTTATTTGTCGCGACTAATAAATTGGTCGCCAAAAGCAGGAAAACAATACACCTGTAATTCCTAATAATTCATTCAATCCATAATAAACCTATAATTTTAAAGCATCATTCAAATTAACTGAATCATTAACATTCGACACAATACATAATTCATTAACATTCGACACAATACAACTATTCTAAGTTTTCATTCACAAGTCACATCCATCTAGCATAACAATTTGAAACATAACTATTTGTTATCCATGCGCAGCTATCAACAAATAAAACTACTAATATTTGTTATCCATACACATCTATCCACAAATATTTAATCCTCCAAAAAATGCTCATACTGCCAAGTAGTCTTGTACAATTTAGCTTCGTGAACTTGCTAAGAAATATGTTGGGGAGGGTGCTGGTCTGGTTCGTGAACTTTTGATCCACTTTTCCCAACTTTTGATCCACTTTTCAATGATGGCCCCATCGATATTGTTTTAGCCACTTCAAATGTTTAGCAACTTTGTCCTATGCATATCATTTCCCTGTCAAAATGCCAAACATAAATGTCAATATAATTTCCTTCTAGACACTGAAGCACCTGTACCGCCCAAGCGTAACACATCGTGGCCAAACAATTAATGAAATCAAATATAATTACCAAGCAAATAAATTTAGATTTTATCACGGTGATAAGTCATTCCACACGAATCAACAGCTTGTTGCTTCTACATTAGAATGCAGTTATTAATGAAACTAGAACAATTATTGAGCAACTGTATGACATTTGATGTGTGAAGTGCTCTTTTCTCATGTTCATTTCTTTATGGAACTGGGTGATCTTAGAAATCCAAAGCTTTTTTTACTTACATTTGAGTAAGCAAGGTGAGCAGAGCTATGGGAGCCTTATTACCCTGGCTACCCTTCCCGAGGCATATGCCTGCTTAGCAACAATTGCTATATAGACTAATTGCTAATTGCTATATAGATGATCTACCTGCTTATCAACAAAACGTCATGTCCCATACCTATAAATGCAGATTCACCAAATATTACTTAAACCAATAGGACTCCAAGTTTTTAATTCGTTGATAACCCAATTGTTCTCTCCTTTAAAATAAAAACCTCAACTCAAATACATGAATGAAAATATATGACACCCCCAACTAGTGTTAAGGAAACAAAAAAAGGGCCGAGAAATAAAGCAAATCATCTAATTCCTTCAGAATAATTGCCATGTACTGATGTATATTTAACATGTTATTACAGCAATCAAAAGTGATTATAGAGGATATGGTACCACCTTTGCACAGTCACCGAGCCAGCCCATGATACTACGAGCAGCTTGAAACATCTCTCCCAATGCAGTCAATGTGATCTACTCAACCAGAAAAGAAGAATATTCTTACGATGAAGTTAAAGCTAAATGAATGAATCCACGTAAATATGAGTTGTCTTTATTGGACTGACATTGGAAAAGAAAAACCTCTCATGGAAATGTTATGCATACAAAAGATGTTAATATACACAAAATGCACTGCATACAAAAGACTATTCCATGAAGCAAATGTTATGCTCTATAAATAGATGCAAGACTGAAGAACTGTCAATGATCCTGCCCTTACTTTTGCAGCATAACAGGCTGCACCAAAGAGCTCTGTATCATCTGCGATGGCATTACGTTCCTTCAACCTTCTCTTGATCTGATCCCGAGCACAAATGTAAGTTACACCATACACTGATGTCATCACTGTCTGCTTCACTAATTTCTTGTCCACCTAGATTATTGCCACTTATCAGTCCAACGTCACTCATAGAAAATAACTAACTATTGGGATAATTAAGAAAGATGTCAATGTGCAGCGAGAAAAGCACAGAGAAGAATATTACCAGTTTTATTTAAGTAAATAAAAATAGCATACTAAGTAAATGACAGTGTCTAATATGTTGGGCATTCGGAGTAAGGATTGCTCCCAGAGAAGAGTTCAAGCTGTTTGGGATGTGGCATCTATTTGTCTTATGTGGTTGAGGGAAAGGAATGGGTGGTGCTTCCCACTCACAAAGTCAAAGAAATCAATGCTGAGATCTTTGTTCTTTTGGTTTAGAGAGTACTTCCTGTTGGGTCTTGTGGACCCTAATAAGTATTGTTCCCACTAACCTGTAGCGTATTAAACGAATACAAATAGCGTCTCTCAGGTTTCCCAAATTACACAAACCTCCCCTATCATAATGGTCGGTTAACAGCCCTTAACACTAAATGTGCTTTTACTGTTTGGTTGGTGGAAGTTTATTGATCAGCTAGATTCAGTGATGATAAGAGCAATATAGAGAAAGAAGGAATCAAAAAACCAAAACCAAACCAAAAAAAATAAAAGACAAAAATAAGAGAGAGAAACAAGCAACTCGTCACAAAGCAAGGTTTCTGTTGCTTTCTTCAACCTTGCTCTCTATCTCTCTTAGTGTCGGGGTGGTGGATTATGGTGTTTGGGTTCAATCACTGTAGTTGGGTTTCAAATGAGAGAGAGAGAGAGATGCTCAATTAAATTAAACTTCTTTTTCTTTTTCTTTTTGTCATGGGATGTGGCATAAATGAATTTGGTAGTAGTATCATATTTTCCTTTGACAAGTGGTGTGGGTATAACTGACAATGTCTGCTTGCATTGACTAAATAAGGATAAAATTGGCATTACAAATTAACAAAGTGATGACATTAACTTTTTCCATCATTCTCATTGATGGTATGTCAACAGGGGGGAGGTATATACATAGTGTTATGTTAGATGTAAGTAAGAGAGGACATATTTCAAAAACACAAGGAAATGGCTGGAAACCTCAAGGAGGTCAATGTAATTTACTTTACTAATAATGATTAGTAGTCATAGTAGATGTAGTAGTGGTACCAACCTGATTGATTAAAAGCCTTGCACACAGTGCATCTGGAAATACTTCAGGATCTTTCTGAGCATCTTTCCTCATTATATCTAGAACTCTACGTGGCAAATATGGCATTTTTTAACATGCAATTGTCAACTGAGGTGATTTAACTCTGTTAATATCTATAAAACCTGAACGAAAAAATATAAGCTTCTTGCATTGTGAAAAAGCTACTTACCTAGCAGCTATTCCTGAGTAAACATCAGCAGGTTTTTCTCCAGCAACCAAATTGACAGCAGTTGCTCCCAATTGAATGAAAAAAATCCATCAGAGAAGCCAGAGATAGGCAACAAAACAGGAAACAATTTTTTTTTTTTTGGGTCATGAATGGATAAAAAGTTTACATTTTTTCTTAGCTCTAATGAAATGAAAGATGACATTTCTATGGCTATATTTCTCCATTTACTTTGATGCTAACTGCTGCTAAATTTCGTAAAAGCAATGAATATTTAACGAATCATAACTACTGGTCTCAGCTTCTTATACAGTTATTAAAAGCTTATGGGATTGTTGATTGATTGGTGAAGTGAACAAAACAACCTATCAAGCATAAGAGAGTGGGTTCAAGTCCTATCATAGCAGAGCGAACGCGTTCGCAACACCCCAAATTTAAAATGCCAACATAGCATATGAGCCTTCTTTTCCTAAGTTTTCAAGTACTTAATATCTCTGGACTGTCACTTCAGGTAGTCAGGGAACAGGTGGTACTAATAAATGGATCGAGTTTGGTTACTCAAGAAGTTATGATGGAGTAGTACCAAATAAGTGGATAGAAATAATTGGCACATGACATGGAAACCCACAAACTCATACACAAGTAGCTTATTAGCAATCAGGCTTCTTTAGAATGCAGATCTTAAAGAAGAAGAAAATAAACTCATGGATTTACTTACAGTTCTTTCGAGGCCCTTGCGAACTAGTGGATCACATTTAATGACACCATATCTTCTGCCGATGTTCCTGTTGAATAAAAAACACAAAAACCACAATATGAAGTGTTGAAGACTAGCAGGAAGTTTGTCCATCAACAAAACAATGAAAAATGGATATTTACTTTTCTTTCACTACAGTTTTTAATGAGTGTACAAACGTAGGTCGAATATCAGGTGGACCATCAGCTAACTGATCAGCCCGAGGCTGTATATAGGCAGTTTGCAACAGTAACTCAATTAGACGAGTCCCAACCTGAAAAGTAGATGAAGGATTGAACCTTTATATAATTCAGTTGTCACAATTATGGTTGGTGCCTAATTGTCCAGGGCGTAATGATAACATCTTAATAACATCTTACACCTAATCTGGTGGCTCACCTTCTCCAAGTAACTGATAATAGATTATAGGCCCAAAACATGACACTAGTATGACTGTTGGGCTGTGGTATTTCAGGGTTTTGTAGCTCAAGGCAAATCTGACTTGCCTGTTCTGTTTTGGTGCTTGAAGGGATGCTCTGATATCTTACCTGTTTTGATCTGTTATGCTGCTGTGTCGGTTTTAACAAACTTGGGGATTGGTTTGGATGAAGGGCTGCTACAGGTCAAGGCATTGTGTTTGGTCTGACTGTTGGGCTGTTGTAATTCAGGGCAATGTAGCTCATGGAAAATCTGATCTGTCTGTTCTGTTTGGTGCCAATAGGAGTGCTGTTTTGCCTGCTATTTTTTGCCTTTTTTTTTCTGCAAACCCATTAATTTTCCAAGTACATATTCACCAAACACTAAGCAAACTATTCGAGCTTCCATGTGCGTGAATGTGGATTCGGTCTATATCCAATTTAACCCTCCTAAGCTCCCAGCACCCTCGATTACTGAGAACCAACACTCGGGACAAGTAGAATTCAAATTATTTTGCAAAATATTTAAAGAATAAGTGCCTGTCATTTCAGTTTAGAACCTTTCCTCCTAATTTTTCCCCTAGGTTTGCTCATCTAACGAAACAGATTAAGAACAAACACAATAACTTCTAACTGCACATAGAATGAAGAATATACCTTTATAAAAAGTTGTCAAAATTTCATAAGTACCAAAGCGAGCACCAGCACCTAAAATCCTTCCCAACATTAACCACCCAAAACCACTGTACAAACCTACAATGTTCATTGAAGAGAATATTCATTTAACTAGCAGTAATAAACCAGAATCATAAATAACTTAAGCTCACATGTAGCTGTTAACCTTATCTACAAGACTCATTGCACTAATGGAAGCTCAAGCAAGACAATAAGTTAATCGAATTACCTGCATGTCCTGATAAAGTTTTAACTCTATCAAGAACCTGAGCTGTAGTCAGCTGTTTATTAGAAACTGACCCTACCTGTTATTTTCTCCACCACAACAAATAAGCATCAATATTAGAAACAGATAGTCATATGCTAACAAACAGTTCCAAAATCAACACCAACATGCATACGCACACACATATGAGCATACAAATGCAGACAGAGGTTGGTTTCAAACTTCGAACCTGTATAAGGACTTTGATAGTATCAAGAGGGTAAGTGAGGGCAGTGCCCAATGTGACTGAACCTGCAGCAGCAACTGCATGTGTAGCAAACATCTGGTTCTTCATCAGTTCTTCCATCTGAAAGATTTGCACAAATGTCAAAAACAACTAGGCAGTCCACAACCTGAAACTGAAGTTCTGAAGAGTCTTTATATCAGATTCAAACAGTTTTTTGGAGATCCAATTTCTTCTATCTTCATATGGTTACAGAAAAGTACCCTCAAACCTCAATGCATACATTGAGCACTCACAATATGTAAAGACAGAAAAAAATATATTAATCATAATTCTCAATGTGTGTGCATCCAACATGCTTCCAACTACATATGACACTTGCAAAGAAACTTTGATATGCTTAATGTTTCTTTTCTGGTAAGTACATATATAATTGTTGATCCTTCTAAATGACCTTGCTGAAGTTTTAATCCTTCTTCCTGTTTGTCAGGCGGATCATTTATCTCACGTAACCCACAAATATCCGAGTCCTTATCAGGCGATTGACCAAAGAATTCACCGCAGGAAACTACAATGAATAGATTCTAAGTGAATGCTTCTCATAAGAAGAGAAAAAGAATTATAGGAACACATTCTTCAGTCCGGGGAAGAGAAGAGAATAATTTTTCAAAGATCGCCACTTTACCATGGATTGGACAATTAGAAGAGTAATAAGATAAATGAAGTGACTAGAGTCACTAGAAGAAACATGTATAGATGGATGCACACATGCATATAAACATGTATATAAACATCACATTATGCTTCTTTTTATCAGGCCTTTTCTTTCTGGTATATATATCTACCAATTCACAAAAATCCTTCTCATAAGAAGATGGGGATGATGTTCTACTATGCTTTACCTATACATATCAAAAAATGAATAGGAAAGATTACTACAGGAATGAATAGATGGATGCACACATGCCCACACATGAGTCACCTTAGTTTCAGAAAATTTATAGATATTTATGTATAGAAATTCTGGAATTGAAATACCCAAGGTCTAGAGTCAAAATGCAGAAAAAATCATTAAGTGCTACTTTAAACTTCTTATTAATGCATAAAAATGCAATAAAAGAATAAAAACATACCACTATTCCAGAATCTGCCCATGACAAGAGACTTTCCACTATTCCAGACTTGGACACTGCAGGAGAAATATAGACATGAAAAAAATAAACTAGAGTTTTGGTGAAAATAAAACAGGGTTTCGAACTAGACATGAAAAAAAAATCACTAGACATGAAAAAAGGCATAATAATGATTAGGTCCACATGCAATCAACACTGAAAAAAAATCACTAGACATGAAAAAAGGCATAATAATGATTAGGTCCACATGCAATCAACACTGAAAAAAAATCACTAGACATGAAAAAAGGCATAATAATGATTAGGTCCACATGCAATCAACACTGAAAAAAAATCACTAGACATGAAAAAAGGCATTGCTTCTATGAGAAATATAGATATTTGGAACTATTTTATTTTTCTGGTTATAGAACAGGGTTTTGGTGAAAATATTGAGGGCTATTCTTGCATGTAAGCTGTAACTGGCAATAGTAAGTTTGCTATTTTTCTCGTAAGAGAGAAAAATGATGGAAAAAAAAAAAGGATGGCAAGAATCTAGGAATCTTGACCATAATATTTTAGGAATCAGACCCTTGACGTTAGGCTACATCACAAATGACTCAAACTCAAACCCTAAATGTTTGTACCCTTTTCTTCAATATTACAAGAAAAAATACATAATAACGGGCTGCTGGAGTTTTCCAATCATTAATACGATTAATACTAATAATGGGAAGCTGAATGACTATTGGAAATCTCTCTAATGTTACTAGAAAGATAATTCCAACATTCAACCAGTCAGGACCAATGTTACTAGAAAGATGATTGTTTTGGTATGTGGAATTCTAGTAACCATGGCTAAACCTCAACAAGCAGGTCAATATATCCACTGAGGATATTATATCATGTTTCTCCTACTCAATGCAAATAACTAAATACGGTCTATTGAAAGATGATGGAGAAAAGCTTCACTCTCAAATACCATGAAAGACAGTAGAAGAGAAATCAATAATTGAATGCCAAACCCTGCTGCAAAGCGGGAGTCTTGTGCTGAGTACGACCTTTATTTAATTGACAATAAGCTATGATCTAAATATGAATCAACCACTAATTTTCTTTTTTTCATTATTAATCAAAGTTTTTGGTACTTACTTGTTAGGGCGTCGCATTAAAACGTAATATATTGGATCTTCTAAAGATTCTCCAATTGACAATTTCAGCAATTGCAAAACAATGTAACAACATGTTGTAATGCTGTAAAAAAAACAAGCAACTTCACATCAAATCTGTAACAAAGATCTAGATTTCACTATACATGGTGGCAACTCATTAACATATCTAAATAAAAATTATAAAACTGCAGTGTAATCAATTCCTCAAAACATATATTCAGCTGACAGTCAAATAGTTTTTGAATCTGCAAGAAAAACTAGAAGAAAAAATGCACGTAGGAACTTTAACTATAAAGTATTTGGATAAAATAACAAAGGTTTATTAATGCATGTTTAATAGTCAAAATGAAAATGTAATGTCAAATCAATTCAAATTAAAGATAGAAGATTTCTATATTAGCACCATATCAGAACATTTAGCACCATATCAGAACATTTACTAGGGGAAAAAAGGATAGAACATAACATAAAAATGAAACTAATTTCTAATAATTGGAACAAATCGATGACTGAAAAATGCTGAAACAGAAGTGAGCATTTACCTCATCTTGGGGTGTGTTTCTGATTTGGGAAATGAAACGCTTCTTCTTCCTATGAATTTGTTGGACCTAATTAGTCAGTCATAGATCCTTTTGTAAATTTTTTATGTTTTAAATGTAATTTGAAGTACTTATATATGAGGAATCTAGTTGGACAAAACTAGTGTAGTTGGTCAACTTAAGTAAATTTTGTTCCAGTGTCTTTAATCCAGTTTAGTCCCCTAGAGTCTTGCAGACAGATATAAAGACCTGTACTTAATTCTAAACATATAGATAGTATTCATGTACATTCTAGAATAGTCTATTAGAGGAGGTGGGAGTAGTATCTACAATACTCTTAATCCTTTGGGTTTTGGGATATTCTTTGTAAACCTATAGAAGGGGAGGGCCTCATTTGCCCAACCCATCCAAGGAAATCCAAAAGTAATACAAGATCTCTTGCATTCACTTAATGGAGTAAACTGATCCAGTTGGTCCTTATATGATTGCAAATTTTAACATTGCAAAAGTCCAAACTTTTGAATTTACAAAGGTCTAGTTCATGCCCATGCATTATAATCAATAATTTTACATCAGCAATTCAATTACCATGTTTCCATGGACTGCTCACAAGGCCAACAAACAGGCGGTGTTCCTTGCATACACTTGGAAAATAGAAATTGTTTGGACCTAACTTAATCTGTCCCTGGACATGTCTAAGAAAATTTGAACCTCCTATAGGAATGCAGTATCATCTTATCAAAACCAATAGTATTACTCTCATTAAAAAATTACCTAAGCACTGGCACAATAACCAGGCTACCCAGCAAAACAAGCACCTAATTAGACCTTTTCAATAACCAGGCTACCCTCTTGAAAGCCAGCAAAACAAGCACCTCATTGGACCTTTTCCAAGGAATCCTTCAACCAGAATAACAGTTTAAGTGTTGATTGAAAATCACATTCACATGTTTTGTAGTTCATTAAAAACCACCTTGCTCAGCTAGTGAAAAGTTGACTGATATGTATCTCGGGGTCGGACACATCAAATCTCTAAATAAAGGATACGTGGACTTGGCTAAAATTTATCCAAAAATTAGATATGGGTATGTGGATACAACAAAAAGTATTAAAAACGCTAACAGGTGTCTCTTCCTATTATGATTTTTTTTTTCTCCTTCTTCATCCTGTATTTTTTTTGGGTGTTGAATCTGATTTTTTTTGTTATATTACTGTGGAATTTTGGTTTGGACTATGTGAAACTGGTTGGATTAGAGTTTGGTAATATGAAGAACTCCAAAAGCAAACCCAGTATATATTTTCGTTATAGAATTATTGAGGCCCAAACACAGTGATAAAGTGTGTGTGTCTTCTCTAAAATAAAATCAAATACTTTGGGCTTAATGATCTTTGCCATCTGCCCCATGTGACTGCAGCAGCCTACTAAATGGATTGATTAAAAAAAAAAAAATGGCTTCTTCTTCAATCGATTTACTTGACTGATTATTGACAATAATCAGTCTTTACCATTATCTCAATTCCACCAACAAATATCGATTTACTTAAAGCATAGAGAAGCATAGAGAGAAAGAGACAGAGAGAGAGAGAGGTACCGGAGAGCTCCCATGGGGGTTCGAAGCAGAGAGAGAAAGAGAAGACAGCGGCGTCAATGTAGAATTTGAGGAACCTGATGATAATGAAGGTGGCTGTGGTGGTGGAAACCCTAGCCTTCGGTGACCCAATCGAAGCACAATGTCGCGATTCACTATCGGAAACCCTACCTTGCGAGTGGGAGGATTACGACTTGAAGACACTGAGAGAGAATGGGGGAGAGGCAGAAATCGAGGCCAGCATCGGGAGCGAGTGCAAGAGGGAGGGTAGGAAAGAAGAACAGAGAGGGAGAGAGAGACAGAGAGGGAATGGGAGGAGACGAGTTAAACCAAATTACCCCAATCTGGGTTCGATTGATGCATCAACAGTGTGTGAAGTAGAAAATTACCCCAATCTATAATTTTTTTCTGAAATTCAATTCCCACCCCACGTTTCAAATTTCCCCCCAAACTTTTGGCGACCAAACTGTCAAATTAGTCGCAAAAATAGGTTCTTTCGCCGACAAATTTTTTTAGTCGCCAAATCTCAATCAACGGCGACTAAAATATTAGTCGCTAAAAGTACTAATTTGGCGACTAATTTTTTTTGGTTGCTGAAAATAAGTTTTTCGCGACCAAATTTTTGGTCGCCAAAAAATATGTGACCTTCCGCGACCAAATTTTTAGTTGGTCGGCAAAAGTATACCACTTTCTGCGACCAACATATTTTTTGGTCGCCAAAATATAACCTTCTGCGACCAATAAAATTTGGTCGCCAAAATTAATGATCATTCGCGACTAATTAATATTTGGTCGCCAAACGTCATTTTTTTGCAACGAAAATTTTTTTAGTCGGTAAAAGTGGTCACAAAATGTGTAAATTCTTGTAGTGATTGGATTGGGTCTCCTCAAATATAATATATAAAAATATATTATCCTAAATCAAGTCAAATTAAAATTGTTTAACAAACCAATTGGGTCCCACACTCCAATAAGGAAGTATACCCAACAAAACCTGCATCCTCTCTCTAAGTGTGTGTGTGATGTCATATGTTAAGAATTATGTTGAGCATTTTCTTCTTGTCAATTTTGCAGCGCGAGTTGGTTCTTTGCTTTCGAGACATACTTGTTTCGAATAGAGACTCTGCTGCTTTGTCTGCTCTTGTTCGTAGTCCTTTCTTCCCACCGAATGTTAGTTCAGAATCAGCTACAACCTCCCTCAAAAATACGGACGATTGCAGATCAGGCAGTGAAGCAATCCAAAGATCAGATGATATAACAGTTGACAGCACAGTTTCGGGTAAAAGCCGTATTAAGTTTTCTTTTTCAATGGAGCATGACCCAAAAACAGATGACAGCTCTACATCCCAACACCTCTATATGGAAAAACCTAGGGAGAGGGTATCATTCTCTGGGAAACAAATCCCACTGAGAGCATTTGTTGCATCTCAGAATCTTTCCGATGATGGGGAAAGAGGTCAATTTCAAGAAAGGTATAATTGTGCGTTACGCCTCTTATGTTGTTGGTTCAATTGAAACTTTTTTTTAGTTGATCAAAAGATTGTATCTAAATGAAAATGTTCGCTGGTGCTTATAAATCACACAGCATAAGGAAACATTTGAAAAGGAGCTTGTAATGACATCAGATCAAGCATCTATGAACGAATCAAGCTTCTATGAAGAATCAGTCCCAACCGGAACATTCTTATTAAGAGGTCATTCTGGTTTGGGTAAGGAAGTTTTGGTGTCCTTGTTGTACATTGTGAGAGCAAATTGTACAGTGGGTTAGGTTTGTTGCGTTGCATGTAATCAGGTGGCTCAAATTGCTGTCTTTATGCTTGTTTTCCATGTGAAAAGGCAAAGTCAGAAGCTCTGCTTCGTGCACTCAATACATGAGAGTTAGAAGGTTGTTGCCTACTTTGCAGGCTCTTTAAAGTATAGTGTATATATTCTTACAGGGCAGCATCAGTTTGATAAAGGGTAATTTAAATTATTTGACAAAAAAGTTTGCATCTTGACTCGTCCTGTTCAGTTTTCATGTTGGTTGCTTTGGCAGATTCACTAGCGCTAATTTTTTACAAGGTTGGTCCTAGTTATAGGTCTCCTCAAGTTCAGATTCAGCTTGTGGGCACTGGATTTTCAGCTCAGTTTCCTGCATTTTTTGATTGCATTTGATGTTTTCCCCTTCCTTTCCCAATATTTGTTTTCATAGAGAAAAGCAGAAATGTTTCTCATTTGTGTAATCTTATTGCTGTCTGTGCATGGGTGGAGCTATGCATAAAATTGTGGGTTCAATTGAACTCATTGAACCTTGATTATTATTATTATTATTATTATTATTTTAAGAATTATGTAGTATTATATAAAGCCTGGTTTGAAAATAGATTATTTTAATAGGTCATTTGGCTTTTTAATTATTTTCGCTTGGTTAAAAAAGTTGTGTCTGAGATGATCATTGATTTTTTTTCTTCTTTTTTGGTAATTGATTTTGTTGGTTGTGAAAAAAAAGTAAAATGATTATGGGTTGAATGTGAGATTGTCTTATGTTTTCATAAATTGACACCATCAAAATTGTTCAAAAAAATAGATTTATCAAAAAAATAAAAAATTGTTTTAAAAAATAATTAATTTTATACTTAGGTCCCGTTTGGCATGCAACACTTTTAGCTTAAAAGTCAAAAAGTCATTAAAAAAATTAATAAGTCTATAACTTATACTAAAAAGTCATAGGAATTACCGCTAGTTCAATTGTATGATATAAGGATATTTAAAAGCCGAGACATAGAAGGAAAGAAATAATTTTTAGTATAAGGAAGAAGAAGATGGTTTCATTCATCATACTTGGACCGGTTTGGTTTTATAAAAAGAAATAATAAGCTCGTTTCATTCACCTTAATTTCAACAGTGCTGATCTTTAGATAAAATCAAAAAAATTAAATAATAATTTTGATTTTATTAAAACATCCTAACAGGTTTCACACCAAGTTGCTGTCCTGTTCTTCGGTGGAGCAGATGACCGAGAGGCACTATCATATGCTTGGAGGATGTCTGAGCATACCGGAATCAGTCTGACCGTCATGCGATTCACCACCGGTGACAATGCAATTGATCCAACGAGGGTGGAGACTAGCGCCGAACCCAACAGCCCTACCACACTGACAGTGGTGAGAGACAGTGATAGAGATAAACAACTAGACGAGGACTATATAAAAGAGTTTAGGGCAAGAACTGTGAACGATTCAATAATTTACAAAGAAAAGGTGGTAAATAATGGGGAAGATACCATGGCGGCGATAAGATCGATTGACAATACATTATATGACCTTTTCATAGTTGGCAGAGGACAAGGCATGGTGTCGCCGCTCACGGCAGGGTTGACAGATAAGTATTAGCTGATATTTAAAATTCTGATGGAGCCTTTCACATTGGTAGATGAGATTTTTCATTGATGACTACATTTTTTTTCCTTTGTAGTTTATGGTGTAATTAGGTTTTTTTTTTTTTTTTTTGTGAGTACCCTATGTTTAGAGAAGCAAATGCCTGCTCGAAGGAATAGAAAAATTATCATACAGAGTATGATTAGAACAAAGCTAGTGAACCAAATGGTTACTTTGTACTGGTTACTTCTCCCATTTTTTTTTTTTTTTTCCTGTCTATATTTTCATTTATTCTAATTATCAATATTTCAATAGACTCAGAGATCCCAATGGAGTATTATTATAGACTCAAATTAACTTTATTTTTCTACATAGAAAATAAACAATTTAGATTATCAAAATGATTCTGAAGTAAACCCACACTACTTTAACAAGACCCTTCAATTCAATTACTAAATGGAACGGGAAGCTGGTCCAAAATTTAATCATTTTAATATTACTCTTCATTATATATAGCAATCTTTTTTTTTTTTTTTTTCTTTTTTCAGAACATCAAACAACATCATAGAAATGTCCTAATCTAAAGGGGAGGGCGAAGGGTGTTGGAAATTAAAATTGCAAAACAACAATCACTCACATAATTTTAAAAGAGAATTAAAGAAGAAAAAATTTTACTCATATTCTCCATAACGTGCAAAGAAACACCAAAGTAATCATGGAGTAGTAATCATAGAAAGCAAAACAACTTTCAAAATACCAAGAATCAATAATCGCATTTTATTGATGTTGAAAACCTGCAACCCTTGATTATTTTCTCCTTCATGAACAAGGATACAACAATAACAATATGGTGGACATATAAATCAAGTTGTAACATCTCAAACGATTACCCATATGATCGTTCCTCATACAACAACACACTGGAAGAGTTTACGAGGAAGAGATATAATTATGAGATCAATACAAAAACTTTAATTAAGCACATTGGAAGCCACTTGGGACATTCTTTCCACAGTAATTCAGCAGCAAGCTCAATGAAATAGGAACATTGAGGTTAATTCCCAACACATTAGCTTTAATGGCGGTGCAAAGGCAAACAGCAGCCTCAAGATCAGCGAGACCCTGAATGAGGGTGCAGCATGGAGTCTTGGGTGGGGTTCCGATGACAAGGTGCACCAAATCATTAAGCAAGTTAGCACAAACACCCAACTTTAGGGTGTCTCTAGGACAAGTGGCCTTAGCGGGCGGAGATGGGGGCTTGTGGTGGTGCTTGGGAGTTTTTGGTGGTGGTGGTGGGCATGGGACATAATTAGAACTCACCAGAGTGAAGAAGAGGAGGTTGAGGGAGAGGAGGAGGAGAGCCTTTGAAGCCATCTCAAACGACACCTAAAAAACTCTTACAATTTTTTTTTTTTTTTTTTGGGGGAGAGAATGTTGTTGGGGGAAATGATGGAGTGGGTTAGGCTTTTGTAGATAGAAAATAGAATCTTTTGTTTTTGGTTTTTTTATTTGGTAATGGAGAAAATATAGAGATAGCCATGTGGGCACACACACCATGGACTGGAAATCTGTGATGTCCAAAACAAGTTGGGCGGTGCAAACTGAAAGACAAGCCACCTCAGCGATTGTAGAGTTTGGTGTTTTCTTCTGCATTCATTAGTTGTCATTTCTCTCACTCACACATACACATGCAAGAGAGACAGAGAGAATATGTAGTCGATCTAATCTTGAATGTGGGGGAAATGATGGAGTGGGTTAGGCTTTTGTAGATAGAAAATAGAATCTTTTGTTTTTGGTTTTTTTATTTGGTAATGGAGA